TGTTTGCCTCCGATACTGCCCCTGGATTTCCTTTGAGAGCGACTAGTGGAAGATCTGCCCGAGAGCTGGTTCCCCCCTCCCGGCCCCGCCCCGGCCCGGCCCGCGCCGCGCCCTGGCTCCGTGGAGAGCGGGAAACCCAAACTTTCCAGCCGCTTAGTTTCGGTTCCGTTCGCGCCAACGAGGAGAGGGAGACGCGGAGAGAGGGTGCGGCAAAGGGTCCCGCACTAAGGCGCCTTCTTCCCGGGGCAGCCTGGCTTCCTGATGGGCACCCATTGGGGACCCGGGCGGAGAGACCCTCCCTCCCGAGAAGCCTGGCTTCCTGATGGGCCCCGATTGGCGACCCCGGGCGGGGAGACCCTCCCTCCGCTCCTGGAATCAATCAGAATCGGAATCCAAAGGAGCCACGCCTCCCAGGGCTCAGATTTCTCCATCTTCCCCACCCAGGACATCCATCTGCTCTGGGGACCCCACCCACCACACACACACCCGCAGAAGGCGCGATGCCCCTCCTGCCTCTCCCTCCCCTCCCCCTGGCCCAGCCTACACCTGCTTGGAGATTCACTTCTTGGACGAATTAGATTTTTCCTTCCCCAAACCACACTGCCTTCCTGACTTCTCTAAATAGTATTGATTGATTGATTGATTGATTGATACAGGCCCTGGCTGGGTAGCTCAGTGGGTTAGAGCATCGACCCCATACAGCAAGGTTGTGGGTTCAATCCCAGGTCAGGGCACCACCAGGAATCAACCAATGAATGCATCAGTGAGTGGAACGAGACATCGATGCTTCTCTCTCTCTCTCTCTCTCTCTCTCTCTCTCTCTCTCTTGTCAATAAGTTAAACAACTTTACAAATAAAAAGTAGCCCGGCTGGTGTGGCTCAGTGGTTGGAGTCGACCTATGAACCAGGAGGTCATGGTTGGATTCCTGGTCAGGGCACATGCCCTGGTTGCAGGCTCGATCCCCAGTGGGGGGTGTGCAGGAGGCAGCCGATCCGTGATTCTCTCTCATGGATGTTTCTCTCTCCCTTTCTCTCTCCCTTCCTCTCTGAAATAAAAAAAGAAAAAGAAACCGCCCCATGTTACAGATCAAGCCCCCCCCCACCCCCCTTCCCTGCCATTTCCAGGGTGCGGCATTGCTGTGTGAAGGCCCAGACCAGACGAAGGTTTGGGCCAAGTCCCTGCCTTTCCCGGGAGAGACAGTTCTCCGAGGTGACCCTGGGCATCCCCGGCCGAGGGTTAACCGCACAGCAGGACCTCAGCTCCCCTGGTTTCCGTGACAAAGACGTCCTGGACCCATCACCCAGCCCAGGGGGGCCTGGGGCCTTCCGGCTCCATTTCGGGCGATGCCTGTGCCCCTGCGGGTGACCCCCGGGTGCGCCAGCCAGTCCGCCTGCAGCTGCCCAAACGCTCCCTGGAGCCTTTGGCTGTCTTACCCTGGAGCTCCCGGGGCTCCGTACACAGTCACGGGCTGACTCCTCAGGCAGAGGCCCCCTGAGCCTTTTCGGGGATCGGGACCGGGCGCCAACTTGCTGTTTTTTTAACTCCACCCCCTGCCCCTCCACTCCGGGCCTGGCCCCAGGTCTCCTTACCCTTCTCGGAACAGGCCTGTTCGTTGCCCACCCACATTCCGCGCTCAGGTTCTAAGATTCTGTGAGTCACATTGCTCCGTAGCCTGGAATCCTCCCCCCCCTGCTCTCCACCCATCCCGTTCCCCGTCTCCCACCCCCAGGGTCTGGCTCAGCTGGCCTCCCAGAGGGGACCACGCAGTGAGATCCACGGGACCTCCTGGAATTATTTTTTTTAAATATATTTTTATTGATTTCAGAGAGGAAGGGAGAGGGAGAGAGAGAGAAACATCAATGATGAGAGAGAATCATGGATCGGCTGCTCTTGCACGCTCCCCGACTGGGGAATTGAATCGTGTCCTCTTGGTTCACAGGTCAACGCTTAACCACTGAGCCACGCCGGCCGGCCGGGCGGGCTGGCCTTCTTGAAGCCAGTGGAATCTGTGGTGGGAAAGGGTACGGGGTGTGACAGAAGAGACAGTCGAGAACAGCCCGGGTGGGTGGCTGAATATGTGAGCTGCTGTAGCAGACGGTAGAGCAAGGGAGGAACAGGCCTGGAGGTGGCCATGGGAGCCAGGGGTGCCCTGGTCTGAGCTCAGAAGGGGGAGACCCAGCGGATGGCGGTCTTGGGGTGGAGAAGAGCGTGACCACGGAGGGGAGGCGGGTGGGCAAGGGGCCAGCGGACGGATGCGGCTGGCCTTCGGAAGGGACAGGCCTCTGGACTTGCTCCGAACGCAACAGGAAGCCGTGGGCAGTCATTGCCCCAGGCAGAGGCACGGGACGCGGATCTGATTTTGAGAGCGCGGAAGGTGGCTTCCTTCTAGGATTTTTAACTTTATTTTTGGTTTCACAACTTACATTTCAGTCTCAAGTCCGCTTCGAGTTTGTGCTTGTGTGTGGTGGGAGGTGGTGGTCTAGTTGCATTTTTTTTTCCCAATGTGCCTGCCTGTCCAATTTTCCCAACACTGTTTGTTTGTTTTGTTTTATTTTATCTTATTTTATTTTTTTTATTCATGATCAGGGCACATGCCCGGGTTGTGGGCTCGATCCCCAGTAGGGGGTGTGCAGGAGGCAGCTGATCCATGATTCTCTCTCATCATGGATGTTTCTCTCTCTCTCCCTCTCCCTTCCTCTCTGAGATCAATAAAAATATATTTTAAAAAAATGCAGCAGCAGATAGAGCAGGAGGTAAGTGTGTCCGGGGAGGCTCTGAGCAGACATATCTCATCAGACTTGGCCCAAGCTTCTGGATTCGTGCTAACAGCAGGCGGCAGGAGTCCCATCTCCCCAAGCGGCTCCCTCTGCCCCCCGGGGTCTCCCCGTCTGCACCCCGTGTCTCCCAGAGTCCCAGGCCTGCCAGTCCTCTGCCCTCGTTGTGGGAGGCTGGCGAGGGGGTTGGAATGCCTCCAGTCCTCGACGCTGCGGTGGGAGAATGGTCATGTGACAGGCCTGGTGACAAGGTTGAGCAAGGTCATCTGTCTGGCCTGACTCTGAGTGGGGCAGAGGGCAGGCTGCCGGCCAGCTCAGCCCCCCCGTCTGCCCTGATGCAACAGCGGTGGGCGGACAGGGCGGGGTGTCCGTCCTCCGGGGTCCCAGGCCAGTGTGACCCTTTGACCTTCAGACTGGCTCCCGGGACACAGAACACCTGTTTGCTTACTCTTGTCTCCAAGTGTGTATGTCGGGGGAATTCACTGCTCTCCCTTTTTTTTTTTTTAATACATATATGTTTTTATTGATTTCAGAGAGGAAGGGAGAGGGCGAGAGAGAGAGAAACATCAATGATGAGAGAATCCTTGACCGACTGCCTCTTGCACGCCCCCCACTGGGGATGGAGCCCGCAACCCGGGGTCTCGTCTCCACCCAGCTGCCCAGGCCCTGGGGAGGGGCTGACAGGGCCCCGAGCGGCAGGCGGGGCAGGGCTCCTCCTGATGTCTTCAATGGGGAGCAGGGGACACGTTGTGGGGGACCAGGGGGGTTTCAGAAAGGCAGGCCCAGCAGAGGTGGGGGGAGCCCGCGGGCAACACTGCCACCTGGTGGCGGGTGCGCCGCCTGCAGGACACACAGATCGGTCTGTTTGTTTGTTTTTAAATATGTTTATTGATTTCAGAGAGAGGAAGGGAGAGGGAGAGAAACATCCATGATGAGAGAGAGTCATGGATCGGCTGCCTCCTGCACGCCCCCTACTGGGGATCGAGCCCGCCACCCAGGCAGGTGCCCTGGTTGGGAATCGAACTGTGACCTCCTGGTTCCTAGGATGATGCTCAACCACCGAGCCACACCGGCTGGGCTAGAGCCCAGGCTTGAAAAAAAAACAAAACACACACACAAAAAAACATGGGCCCCTTCTTTGAATTTCATTCCGGAGGGAAACTGCGCCTCCCACCCAGGGCGAGTTCATCCTCAACCCCTACATTTTTCAGCCGACTGATGCGTGAACAACCGTTCTGAGGCCGGTGCGAGAAAACAAATTAAATCCCGTGTCGCGCACTGGGTTTGGGTTAGACACCGCGACGTTCTAATGACGTTTCTTTCTAGGGGCCTCGCGGCGTCAGCCAGGGGGTTGGCAGGTGGCGGGGGGGAGGGCGAGATGCATATGCTGCTCCGGGCAAGCAGTTGGCGGGGTCGCCACCCCCCCCCCCATGATGACACGGCCATTCGTCAAAGACCCCGGAGGAACGCTCCCCGGCCGCCTAAACGCATCGCCCGTGTGCGTCATGATCCCGTCTCCCCGAAAATCCCAGGAATGATTTCTCTCCCTAAAAATAGGTCAAACCGGACACCCTCCTGGGAAGAACACCTGGCCCAGGGGCTGGGGTCCGGGGGAGCTGTGGACAGTGACAAGCTCGCCAGTTACAACAGGACACCTCGTTGAACTGCAAATACGGGGGACATACCCAGCCTACAGCATTGCCTGTCATTCATCCGACGTTCAAGTGTAATGAGCACCCTATACTTTTTAAACTATGTTTTTACGGATTTCAGAGAGGAAGGGAGAGGGAGAGAGAGAGATGGAAGCATCCGTGATGAGAGAGAATCATGGATCGGCTGCCTCCTGCACGCCCCACACTGGGGATCAAGCCCACCACCCGGGCCTGTGCCCTGACAGGGAATTGAACTGTGGCCTCCTGGTTCATAGGTTGGCGCTCAACCCCTGAGCCACGCCGGCCAGGCCCTTGTGGCATTTTAATCTGTGTGTGCGAACGTGTGTGAATGTGTGCGTGCATGTGTGTGTGTCTGTGTGCATTTGGGCACGTGTCCACGCTTTTGCAGGTGTGCGTGTGCACGCGGCCCCCCGGTTGGCAGACAGACGGGGGGTCTGAGGCCCACCCCCCTGCAGAAGACAGGAGCGGGTGCTGGCCGGCCTGGCTGGGCCGCGTGGCGCAGGTATCTGTTCTCCGTGAGCCCTGGGATTACTGATGAGTCATGGGCCCTGGCAGAGTGGGGACGCTTTGTAACAGGCTCAGAGAATAGATGATCTTAACAAAGACCTATTTATTCCCAACTCTCTCAAGCAAGGTCTGTTCAAAAAGAAAGAAAGAAAGAGAAAAGAAAGGAAGAAAAAGGTCAGATGATAAAAATATGCCCCGTGATACTCTTACCGACAGGAGTGTGGTGCTTCGCGCACCTCGGCCTGTCGCTCACCGACTCGGTCCCTGCAGTGTGTGGTGTCCTTTCGGTTTGCAGCGCTAACATTTATGTTCATCTCTTTATCGTCACGTACATTGTTGTGGATCCCGGAGAGGAAGGGAGAGAGAGAGAGAGAGAAAGAGAAACATCCATGATGAGAAAGGATCACGGATCGGCTGCCTCCTGCACGCCCCCCACTGGGGATCGGGCCTGCAACCCGGGCCTGTGCCCTTGACCGGAATCGAACCCGGGACCCCTCAGTCTGCAGGCCGACGCTCTATCCACTGAGACAAACCAGCCAGGGCTATTTTACTTTTTATTATTTATTTCTTTTGTCCATCCTCACCCAAGGATATTTTTCCATGGATTTTTTTTTTGAGAGAGAGAGAGAGAGAGAGAGAGAGTGGAAGAGGAAGAGACACACAGAGAGAAACGTTGATGTGAGAGAGACACATCGATTGGTTGCCTCCTGCACACGTGCCCAGACCAGGGCCGGGGATTGAGCCTGCAACGGAGGTACATGCCCTTGACCAGAATCGAACTCGGGACCCGTCAGTCCGCAGGCCGACGCTCTAACCACTGGACCGGACCAGCCAGGGCTACATCTGTTTTTAGATTTCACGGAACTAACTCAGGAGCTGGAGTCCAGAGCACCATGTTCGGCTAACCCAATTGTGATCTGTCTGTCATGGGATTAAGAGCTTCTTCACCGGGGAGGGGCAGGTAGAAGAAGGTAAGGAGGGAGGGCAATGGTGATGGAAGGAGACTGGACCGTGGGTGGTGATCACATGATAGGATAGACGGATCATATGTGGTAGAACCTCACACTGCAGACCTGTAGAATTCCAGCAAAGATCCGGGGACAGCCGGGCTCTGACCTGGCGAGGGCGGTCTGGGACGGGCGTCAGACCATGTCAGGTGGCCGACGAGAACCTCAGGACGCCGAGTGACCCCCACCAAGAGGCTCCGCTGTTTCCCATCGCCAACCCCGCACAATGGACTGGAGCCCATTAACACTGTGCCCGGCCAGTGTGGCTCAGTGGTGGAGCACCCACCGAGGAACCAGGAGGTCCGGTCCGGCCCGGGTTGCGGGCTCGATCCCCAGCAGGGGGGGGACATGCAGGAGGCAGCCGATCCCCGTGTCTCTCCCCATCACTGATGTCTCGCTCGCTCTCTCCCTCTCCCTTCCTCCCTGAAACAAAAAAACACATATATATTAAAAAAAAAAAAAAAGTACAACCCTGGCTCGCTGTGGTCTCCGTTCCCCTTTCCAGGAAAGAGACGTTCGGTTGCTATGGAGACGAGGGGTCTCGGGTTGAAAAACACACCTGAAACGCTTGCCGTTTTCTCTCTTCCTCTCTCTTTTTTCGGGGGCCCGTAAACGGTGTATTACATCGACAGCACCGGGGAGTTAGGAAATGCTCTAAGTGAGGT